TACGTCCGTCATACGTGTGTCATATGTCCGTCATACGTGTGTCATATGTCCGTCATACGTGTATCATACGTCCGTCATACGTGTGTCATACGTGCGTCATACGTCCGTCATACGTGCGTCATACCTCCGTCATACGTCCGTCATACCTCCGTCATACCTCCGTCATACGTCCGTCATACCTCCGTCATACCTCCGTCATACGTCCGTCATACGTGCGTCATACGTCCGTCATACGTGCGTCATACGTCCGTCATTCGTCCGTCATACGTCCGTCATACGTGTCATACGTCCGTCATACGTCCGTCATACCTCCGTCATACGTCCGTCATACCTCCGTCATACGTGCGTCATACGTCCGTCATACGTCCGTCATACGTGTCATACCTCCGTCATACGTGCGTCATACGTCCGTCATACGTGCGTCATACGTCCGTCATACGTCCGTCATACGTCCATCATACGTCCGTCATACTTCCGTCATACGTGTGTCATACGTTCGTCATACGTGTGTCATACGTGTGACATACGTCCGTCATACGTCCGTCATACGTCCGTCATACGTGTCATACGTCTGTCATACGTCCGTCATACGTCCGTCATACATCCGTCATACGTCCGTCATACGTCCGTCATACGTGTCATACGTCTGTCATACGTCCGTCATATGTCCGTCATACGTGTATCATACGTCCGTCATACGTGTATCATATGTCCGTCATACCTCCGTCATACGTGCGTCATACGTCCGTCATACGTGCGTCATACGTCCATCATACGTCCGTCATACGTCCGTCATACGTCCGTCATAAGTCCGTCATACGTGCGTCATACGTCCATCATACGTCCGTCATACGTCCGTCATAAGTCCGTCATACGTGCGTCATACGTCCATCATACGTGTGTCATACGTTCGTTATACGCGCGTATAACACTAGTATAAATATCACCATTGGTTTACATGTAAACATTTTACGTGCATCTGCTGCACGTATAACACGTACGTGCTGTAACGAAAGTAGCAGTGAGGCTTTCCCAAGCCCCAGTGATCCAAGATGGCGCCCTGTTCAAATGAATGGCTTGTGCTCAGTCGTTCATGGGACTTCATGGAGACCGGGAGAGTAGCTGAACTCGCCCATATTTGGGCATCGTCCTGTCCTCCCACATTTATGGGTAGCCCTCTTGAATTGAATATTTAATTCTATATTCATCATTTTATCCTATTTGTAATAGGATTTTTATTGTAATGTATTTATATAACGACCATCTATTGAACACAAAATTTTTATATATCTTTAGATTTATACATTTCTTTTTTCTAATGTATATATTTTGAGTTCATGCCGAGCCGCTATAGTGGATTTCAGTTTTCTTCCAATATCTTGTTAATTGTTTAATAGCTGTTATTCTTACAGTCCAAAGATGTAATATTATTTTTCCTCCAGAACGATAGGTTGAAAACCAAAAAAGAGGTGTTTTGGTTTCAGGCTCATATTTCAGCCACAGATATGTTTGATCATTTGTATGAACTGATTCCAGTCGGTCTGAATGTTGGTCTGCACATGACTGTGTTTCAGCGCAGTCTCTCTCTGAACTGTTCTGGGTCAGTGCATTTACAGACATGACTGTGTTTCAGCCCAGTCTCTCTCTGAACTGTTCTGGGTCAGTGCATTTACAGACATGACTGTGTTTCAGCCCAGTCTCTCTCTGAACTGTTCTGGGTCAGTGCATTTACAGACATGACTGTGTTTCAGCCCAGTCTCTCTCTGAACTGTTCTGGGCCAGTGCATTTACAGACATGACTGTGTTTCAGCCCAGTCTCTCTCTGAACTGTTCTCGGTCAGTGCATTTACAGACATGACTGTGTTTCAGCCCAGTCTCTCTCTGAACTGTTCTGGGTCAGTGCATTTACAGACATGACTGTGTTTCAGCCCAGTCTCTCTCTGAACTGTTCTGGGTCAGTGCATTTACAGACATGACTGTGTTTCAGCCCAGTCTCTCTCTGAACTGTTCTGGGTCAGTGCATTTACAGACATGACTGTGTTTCAGCGCAGTCTCTCTCTGAACTGTTCTGGGTCAGTGCATTTACAGACATGACTGTGTTTCAGCCCAGTCTCTCTCTGAACTGTTCTGGGTCAGTGCATTTACAGACATGACTGTGTTTCAGCCCAGTCTCTCTCTGAACTGTTCTGGGTCAGTGCATTTACAGACATGACTGTGTTTCAGCCCAGTCTCTCTCTGAACTGTTCTGGGTCAGTACATTTACAGACATGACTGTGTTTCAGCCCAGTCTCTCTCTGAACTGTTCTGGGTCAGTGCATTTACAGACATGACTGTGTTTCAGCCCAGTCTCTCTCTGAACTGTTCTGGGCCAGTGCATTTACAGACATGACTGTGTTTCAGCGCAGTCTCTCTCTGAACTGTTCTGGGTCAGTGCATTTACAGACATGACTGTGTTTCAGCCCAGTCTCTCTCTGAACTGTTCTGGGTCAGTGCATTTACAGACATGCTGTGTGTTTCAGCGCAGTCTCTCTCTGAACTGTTCTGGGTCAGTGCATTTACAGACATGACTGTGTTTCAGCCCAGTCTCTCTCTGAACTGTTCTGGGTCAGTGCATTTACAGACATGACTGTGTTTCAGCCCAGTCTCTCTCTGAACTGTTCTGGGTCAGTGCATTTACAGACATGACTGTGTTTCAGCCCAGTCTCTCTCTGAACTGTTCTGGGTCAGTGCATTTACAGACATGACTGTGTTTCAGCGCAGTCTCTCTCTGAACTGTTCTGGGTCAGTGCATTTACAGACATGACTGTGTTTCAGCCCAGTCTCTCTCTGAACTGTTCTTGGTCAGTGCATTTACAGACATGACTGTGTTTCAGCCCAGTCTCTCTCTGAACTGTTCTGGGTCAGTGCATCTACAGACATGACTGTGTTTCAGCCCAGTCTCTCTCTGAACTGTTCTGGGTCAGTGCATTTACAGACATGACTGTGTTTCAGCGCAGTCTCTCTCTGAACTGTTCTGGGTCAGTGCATTTACAGACATGACTGTGTTTCAGCCCAGTCTCTCTCTGAACTGTTCTGGGTCAGTGCATTTACAGACATGACTGTGTTTCAGCCCAGTCTCTCTCTGAACTGTTCTGGGTCAGTGCATTTACAGACAGAGGTGTTATAAGGATCTCACCAACAGCTTCATGCAGACTTGTGCCAGGATGGAGACTTCAGATAAAAGTTTTTACAGCCCAAACTCCACTCCTCATCTGTCAGAGGATTTTGGAGGTTCTTTTCCCAAGATATTTTCATTTGCTTTACTTCATTATCATTTTCATCATTGAGAATTTGTCTCTACAATTTTTTATAGTTTGGATTCTCATAGACTTTCAGAAAGTGTAAAATCAGTCGGTGAGGAGGTTGAGCCGGCTGGGTTTTCTCTCTTATGTACGATCTTACTTGGAGGAATCCGTAAAAGTGATCAGTTGGGAGCTTTTACTTCTTTTCTAAATGTTCAAAAGTTTCTAAAATGTGGTTCTTAAAGAGTTGATGGAACCTTTTCAGACCCTGATCCTTCCACATTCTGAAAGTCTCATCCGTACAAATTGGAGCAAAGTCTGGGTCCTGACAGATTCCTCTAAGAAAGACAGTATCTATTGGCTTTATCTTACATTTCCAACAAATATTGCTCCACATTTTGCATGTATGATGGATAATTAGGATTATATTCTTTTATGGTTCCACTGATTGCCCTGAGAAGATATAGGAAGAGGGTGAAGCTGCCATGTTTGTTTCAATACTTATCCATTTTGGATTCACTTCACGATTCATCCATGTAAGGATGTATTTGAATTGAGATGCATAATAGTCCCGAATCAAGTTTGGTAGACCCACGTCTGGTGGTCCCTAAGGTTTCAAAAAGAACTGTCGGTGGCAGAGCATTTAGCTCCAAGCTCCTTTACTGTGGAATCAGCTTCACCCACGTTAAGGAAGCAGACACGGTCTCTACGTTTAAGGCCAGGCTTAAAACACTCTTCTTAACTTAGCATTTGGCTAGGTTGTTTGTCCGGTCAGGTCTCGTCCGGTCTTGGAGTCTGCGTATATGGGACCCGGTCCGCTGCATCTTCAACCCTACGCTCTAGGCTAGGCTAAAACAGTCCTCTTAGTTTAGCATATGGCTAGGAAGGTAAGACTCAGGGAAGGCTAAACATCTTAGACTGTCAGTCAAGCTGCATAGAGAGCCCCCTGCTGGAGAGGTATGGTAACAGCACTATCCTCTCCTCCTTCCTACTCTATCTGTTTAGCATTGTTAGGATTCTACTGTAGTCTGTTCATTGCTATTCACCCATTGTCCCATTGTCTGTTTCATGGTACGACAACGAGACCTCTGAGCCTGGCCTCCTCCATCTACACCTGCGGACTGCCCCGCCCGACCCGCCTGGGAGCGCCTCAGTCCTGCACCGGACCTGTCCACGTTCAGCGGCCAATGGTCCACATTCTGTAGCTTAGGTCCTGGATCTACAGCCCGTCCGTCCGTGGGAGCGGATCCCTTTCTCAATACGTGGGTCTCTTCGAGGTTTCTCACTTTTTTCCCACTGGGTTTTTCTTATGAGTTTTTCCTCTGATGCAGGAGGGTCTGTTGGACAGTTAGTGTCCAACAAAAAGGATGTGATGATCCACAACACTTTAACATTCTACAATATGTATGACATTTTTTAACATGTGTTTTATATTATTTTAACTGTTGATTCTCTGATCTGTGTTGGTGATTTCAATGGTTTTGTTAAGTCTCTGAGATGATACTGTTGTGATTTAGGGCTATACAAGAATACATTGTATTGTATTGTATTGTATTGTGTTTGTTGTTGTAAATGCCCGTGTGTAGGCAGATGCGTACACACGGGCATAGGGCCTGTGTGTTTGTGTTTGTCAATGCCCTGTGTGTAGGCAGATGCCTACACATGGGCAAAAGGCCTGTGTGTTTGTAAATGCCTGTGTGTAGGCAGATGCGTACACACGGGCATAAGGCCTATGGCAGATGCGTGCACACGGAATAGCCCTATGTGTTTGTAAATGCCTTGTGTGTAGGCGGGCATGAGTCCTATGTGTTTGTAAATGCCCTGTGTGTAGGCGGGCATGAGCCCTATGTGTTTGTAAATGCCCTCTGTGTAGGCGGGCATGAGTCCTATGTGTTTGTAAATGCCCTCTGTGTAGGCGGGCATGAGTCCTATGTGTTTGCAAATGCCCTGTGTGTAGGCGGGCATGAGTCCTATGTGTTTGTAAATGCCCTGTGTGTAGGCGGGCATGAGCCCTATGTGTTTGTAAATGTCCTGTGTGTAGGCGGGCATGAGCCCTATGTGTTTGTAAATGCCCTGTGTGTAGGCGGGCATGAGCCCTATGTGTTTGTAAATGCCCTGTGTGTAGGCGGGCATGAGCCCTATGTGTTTGTAAATGCCCTGTGTGTAGGCGGGCATGAGTCCTATGTGTTTGTAAATGCCCTGTGTGTAGGCGGGCATGAGCCCTATGTGTTTGTGTTTGTAAATAAAAAATAAAGAATAAAGTTCTAAATTCTTCTTTTGGCATTCAAAGCCACAAATGGCTTGGCTCCTTCTTATCTTCAAGCCTTGTTAATGTCTTATCAACCAAGCCGAGCACTGCGCTCGCAAAACGCCAGACGTCTGGTGGTCCCTAAGGTTTCAAAAAGCACTGTCGGTGGCAGAGCATTTAGCTCCAAGCTCCTTTACTGTGGAATCAGCTTCACCCACGTTAAGGAAGCAGACAATGTCTCTACGTTTAAGGCCAGGCTTAAAACACTCTTCTTAACTTAGCATTTGGCTAGGTTGTTTGTCCGGTCAGGTCTCGTCCGGTCTTGGAGTCTGCGTATATGGGACCCGGTCCGCTGCATCTTCAACCCTACGCTCTAGGCTAGGCTAAAACAGTCCTCTTAGTTTAGCATATGGCTAGGAAGGTAAGACTCAGGGAAGGCTAAACATCTCAGACTGTCAGTCAAGCTGCATAGGGAGCCCCCTGCTGGAGAGGTATGGTAACAGCACTATCCTCTCCTCCTTCCTACTCTATCTGTTTAGCATTGTTAGGATTTTGACTGTAGTTTGTTCATTGCTATTCACCCATTGTCCCATTGTCTGTTTCATGGTACGACAACGAGACCTCTGAGCCTGGCCTCCTCCATCTACACCTGCGGACTGCCCCGCCCGACCCGCCTGGGAGTGCCTCAGTCCTGCACCGGGCCTGTCCACGTTCAGCGGCCACTGGTCCACGTTCTGTAGCTTAGGTCCTGGATCTACAGCCCGTCCGTCCGTGGGAGCGGATCCCTTTCTCAATACGTGGGTCTCTTCGAGGTTTCTCACTTTTTTCCCACTGGGTTTTTCTTATGAGTTTTTCCTCTGATGCAGGAGGGTCTGTTGGACAGTTAGTGTCCAACAAAAAGGATGTGATGATCCACAACACTTTAACATTCTACAATATGTATGACATTTTTTAACATGTGTATTATATTATTTTAACTGTTGATTCTCTGATCTGTGTTGGTGATTTCAATGGTTTTGTTAAGTCTCTGAGATGATACTGTTGTGATTTAGGGCTATACAAGAATACATTGTATTGTATTGTATTGTATTGTGTTTGTTGTTGTAAATGCCCGTGTGTAGGCAGATGCGTACACACGGGCATAGGGCCTGTGTGTTTGTGTTTGTCAATGCCCTGTGTGTAGGCAGATGCCTACACACAGGGCAAAAGGCCTGTGTGTTTGTAAATGCCCGTGTGTAGGCAGATGCGTACACACGGGCATAAGGCCTATGGCAGATGCGTGCACACGGAATAGCCCTATGTGTTTGTAAATGCCCTGTGTGTAGGCGGGCATGAGTCCTATGTGTTTGTAAATGCCCTCTGTGTAGGCGGGCATGAGCCCTATGTGTTTGTAAATGCCCTGTGTGTAGGCGGGCATGAGCCCTATGTGTTTGTAAATGCCCTGTGTGTAGGCGGGCATGAGCCCTATGTGTTTGTAAATGCCCTGTGTGTAGGCGGGCATGAGTCCTATGTGTTTGTAAATGCCCTGTGTGTAGAAGGGCATGAGTCCTATGTGTTTGTAAATGCCCTGTGTGTAGGCGGGCATGAGCCCTATGTGTTTGTGTTTGTAAATAAAAAATAAAGAATAAAGTTCTAAAATCTTCTTTTGGCATTCAAAGCCACAAATGGCTTGGCTCCTTCTTATCTTCAAGCCTTGTTAATGTCTTATCAACCAAGCCGAGCACTGCGCTCGCAAAACGCCAGACGTCTGGTGGTCCCTAAGGTTTCAAAAAGCACTGTCGGTGGCAGAGCATTTAGCTCCAAGCTCCTTTACTGTGGAATCAGCTTCACCCACGTTAAGGAAGCAGACACTGTCTCTACGTTTAAGGCCAGGCTTAAAACACTCTTCTTAACTTAGCATTTGGCTAGGTTGTTTGTCCGGTCAGGTCTCGTCCGGTCTTGGAGTCTGCGTATATGGGACCCGGTCCGCTGCATCTTCAACCCTACGCTCGAGGCTAGGCTAAAACAGTCTTCTTAGTTTAGCATATGGCTAGGAAGGTAAGACTCAGGGAAGGCTAAACATCTCAGACTGTCAGTCAAGCTGCATAGGGAGCCCCCTGCTGGAGAGGTATGGTAACAGCACTATCCTCTCCTCCTTCCTACTCTATCTGTTTAGCATTGTTAGGATTTTGACTGTAGTTTGTTCATTGCTATTCACCCATTGTCCCATTGTCTGTTTCATGGTACGACAACGAGACCTCTGAGCCTGGCCTCTTCCATCTACACCTGCGGACTGCCCCGCCCGACCCACCTGGGAGTGCCTCAGTCCTGCACCGGGCCTGTCCACGTTCAGCGGCCACTGGTCCACGTCCTGTAGCTTAGGTCCTGGATCTACAGCCCGTCCGTCCGTGGGAGCGGATCCCTTTCTCAATACGTGGGTCTCTCCGAGGTTTCTCACTTTTTTCCCACTGGGTTTTTCTTATGAGTTTTTCCTCTGATGCAGGAGGGTCTGTTGGACAGTTAGTGTCCAACAAAAAGGATGTGATGATCCACAACACTTTAACATTCTACAATATGTATGACATTTTTTAACATGTGTTTTATATTATTTTAACTGTTGATTCTCTGATCTGTGTTGGTGATTTCAATGGTTTTGTTAAGTCTCTGAGATGATACTGTTGTGATTTAGGGCTATACAAGAATACATTGTATTGTATTGTATTGTATTGTGTTTGTTGTTGTAAATGCCCGTGTGTAGGCAGATGCGTACACACGGGCATAGGGCCTGTGTGTTTGTGTTTGTCAATGCCCTGTGTGTAGGCAGATGCCTACACATGGGCAAAAGGCCTGTGTGTTTGTAAATGCCCGTGTGTAGGCAGATGCGTACACACGGGCATAAGGCCTATGGCAGATGCGTGCACACGGAATAGCCCTATGTGTTTGTAAATGCCCTGTGTGTAGGCGGGCATGAGTCCTATGTGTTTGTAAATGCCCTCTGTGTAGGCGGGCATGAGCCCTATGTGTTTGTAAATGCCCTGTGTGTAGGCGGGCATGAGCCCTATGTGTTTGTAAATGCCCTGTGTGTAGGCGGGCATGAGCCCTATGTGTTTGTAAATGCCCTGTGTGTAGGTGGGCATGAGCCCTATGTGTTTGTAAATGCCCTGTGTGTAGGCGGGCATGAGCCCTATGTGTTTGTGTTTGTAAATAAAAAATAAAAAATAAAGAATAAAGTTCTAAATTCTTCTTTTGGCATTCAAAGCCACAAATGGCTTGGCTCCTTCTTATCTTCAAGCCTTGTTAATGTCTTATCAACCAAGCCGAGCACTGCGCTCGCAAAACGCCAGACGTCTGGTGGTCCCTAAGGTTTCAAAAAGCACTGTCGGTGGCAGAGCATTTAGCTCCAAGCTCCTTTACTGTGGAATCAGCTTCACCCACGTTAAGGAAGCAGACAATGTCTCTACGTTTAAGGCCAGGCTTAAAACACTCTTCTTAACTTAGCATTTGGCTAGGTTGTTTGTCCGGTCAGGTCTCGTCCGGTCTTGGAGTCTGCGTATATGGGACCCGGTCCGCTGCATCTTCAACCCTACGCTCTAGGCTAGGCTAAAACAGTCCTCTTAGTTAAGCATATGGCTAGGAAGGTAAGACTCAGGGAAGGCTAAACATCTCAGACTGTCAGTCAAGCTGCATAGGGAGCCCCCTGCTGGAGAGGTATGGTAACAGCACTATCCTCTCCTCCTTCCTACTCTATCTGTTTAGCATTGTTAGGATTTTGACTGTAGTTTGTTCATTGCTATTCACCCATTGTCCCATTGTCTGTTTCATGGTACGACAACGAGACCTCTGAGCCTGGCCTCCTCCATCTACACCTGCGGACTGCCCCGCCCGACCCGCCTGGGAGCGCCTCAGTCCTGCACCGGGCCTGTCCACATTCTGTAGCTTAGGTCCTGGATCTACAGCCCGTCCGTCCGTGGGAGCGGATCCCTTTCTCAATACGTGGGTCTCTTCGAGGTTTCTCACTTTTTTCCCACTGGGTTTTTCTTATGAGTTTTTCCTCTGATGCAGGAGGGTCTGTTGGACAGTTAGTGTCCAACAAAAAGGATGTGATGATCCAAAACACTTTAACATTCTACAATATGTATGACATTTTTTAACATGTGTTTTATATTATTTTAACTGTTGATTCTCTGATCTGTGTTGGTGATTTCAATGGTTTTGTTAAGTCTCTGAGATGATACTGTTGTGATTTAGGGCTATACAAGAATACATTGTATTGTATTGTATTGTATTGTGTTTGTTGTTGTAAATGCCCGTGTGTAGGCAGATGCGTACACACGGGCATAGGGCCTGTGTGTTTGTGTTTGTCAATGCCCTGTGTGTAGGCAGATGCGTACACACGGGCATAAGGCCTATGGCAGATGCGTGCACACGGAATAGCCCTATGTGTTTGTAAATGCCCTCTGTGTAGGCGGGCATGAGTCCTATGTGTTTGTAAATGCCCTGTGTGTAGGCGGGCATGAGTCCTATGTGTTTGTAAATGTCCTCTGTGTAGGCGGGCATGAGCCCTATGTGTTTGTAAATGCCCTGTGTGTAGGCGGGCATGAGCCCTATGTGTTTGTAAATGCCCTGTGTGTAGGCGGGCATGAGCCCTATGTGTTTGTAAATGCCCTGTGTGTAGGCGGGCATGAGCCCTATGTGTTTGTAAATGTCCTGTGTGTAGGCGGGCATGAGTCCTATGTGTTTGTAAATGTCCTCTGTGTAGGCGGGCATGAGCCCTATGTGTTTGTAAATGCCCTGTGTGTAGGCGGGCATGAGTCCTATGTGTTTGTAAATGCCCTGTGTGTAGGCGGGCATGAGTCCTATGTGTTTGTAAATGCCCTGTGTGTAGGCGGGCATGAGCCCTATGTGTTTGTGTTTGTAAATAAAAAATAAAAAATAAAGAATAAAGTTCTAAATTCTTCTTTTGGCATTCAAAGCCACAAATGGCTTGGCTCCTTCTTATCTTCAAGCCTTGTTAATGTCTTATCAACCAAGCCGAGCACTGCGCTCGCAAAACGCCAGACGTCTGGTGGTCCCTAAGGTTTCAAAAAGCACTGTCGGTGGCAGAGCATTTAGCTCCAAGCTCCTTTACTGTGGAATCAGCTTCACCCACGTTAAGGAAGCAGACACTGTCTCTACGTTTAAGGCCAGGCTTAAAACACTCTTCTTAACTTAGCATTTGGCTAGGTTGTTTGTCCGGTCAGGTCTCGTCCGGTCTTGGAGTCTGCGTATATGGGACCCGGTCCGCTGCATCTTCAACCCTACGCTCTAGTTTAGGCTAAAACAGTCCTCTTAGTTTAGCATATGGCTAGGAAGGTAAGACTCAGGGAAGGCTAAACATCTCAGACTGTCAGTCAAGCTGCATAGGGAGCCCCCTGCTGGAGAGGTATGGTAACAGCACTATCCTCTCCTCCTTCCTACTCTATCTGTTTAGCATTGTTAGGATTTTGACTGTAGTTTGTTCATTGCTATTCACCCATTGTCCCATTGTCTGTTTCATGGTACGACAACGAGACCTCTGAGCCTGGCCTCTTCCATCTACACCTGCGGACTGCCCCGCCCGACCCGCCTGGGAGTGCCTCAGTCCTGCACCGGACCTGTCCACGTTCAGTGGCCGCTGGTCCACAGTAGCTCAGTTGGTAGAGCATTGGCCTTTGAGCCAGAGGGTTGTGTGTTTGAGCCCAACATTCACCATCGACTCCCACTGATGTCTGCTGTCGTTGTGTCCTTGGGCAAGACACTTAACCTCTGGGAACACCTGATGCCAGGGGCGGCTGTAAAGTGCCAAACTGCCGTTGTGTCCTTAGGCAAGACACTTCACCCACATTGCCTAAAATGAGTCTGGTGTGTATGTGTGAATGGTTGGTGGTGGTCGGAGGGGCTGATGGCACAGACTGGTTGCCAACGCTTGAAGAATGCTTTTCTCCCAGTTGGACAAACTTCAACAGCAACAGTGACTTATTCTGTTCCAGTTTCATAAACCTAAATCCAAACTGCTCGTCTTTAGAACCTGCACCTCTCGTTCTGTTGGAGAAACTTCTGGACCTGATATTTAGACCGTGGACAAACAGACAGAGCCCTGAGCCCAGTGAGTCCTGTGTGGATCTGAGAAACCCATCAGTCTGGTCTGGTCTGTGTCCTGGAGTAGGGTTTCTCAGCTGACTCTATGTGGAGAAGTGCCAGACTATATTTAGCGAATTCTTCTCACCTCAGGCCTTCAGCAGAGGAAAGTTTTATCATTAGGTTTTTGGGTTATATTAGGTTAAATACATTACATTTGGTTTCATTGAGAGAGTCTGCGTCTGCTTCGAGGAGAACCTTCAATGACTTTCACCCTCACTGCAAATGTGGTTTTACACAAGTCTCTCCTCCCACCTGCTGTCAGACTGTAGAGCGAACACTGCCGACTCTGTACATGTGTCATCAGACTGTCGGTCAAGCTGCATAGGGAGCCCCCTGCTGGAGAGGTATGGTAACAGCACTATCCTCTCCTCCTTCCTACTCTATCTGTTTAGCATTGTTAGGATTTTGACTGTAGTTTGTTCATTGCTATTCACGCATTGTCCCATTGTCTGTTTCATGGTACGACAACGAGACCTCTGAGCCTGGCCTCCTCCATCTACACCTGCGGACTGCCCCGCCCGACCCGCCTGGGAGTGCCTCAGTCCTGCACCGGACCTGTCCACGTTCAGTGGCCGCTGGTCCACAGTAGCTCAGTTGGTAGAGCATTGGCCTTTGAGCCAAAGGGTTGTGTTCGAGCCCAACATTCACCATCGACTCCCACTGATGTCTGCTGTCGTTGTGTTCTTGGGCAAGACACTTAACCTCTGGGAACACCTGATGCCAGGGGCGGCTGTAAAGTGTCAAACTGCCGTTGTGTCCTTAGGCAAGACACTTCACCCACATTGCCTAGAATGAGTCTGGTGTGTATGTTTGAATGGTTGGTGGTGGTCGGAGGGGCTGATGGCACAGACTGGTTGCCAACGCTTGAAGAATGCTTTTCTCCCAGTTGGACAAACTTCAACAGCAACAGTGACTTATTCTGTTCCAGTTTCATAAACCTAAATCTTTAGAACCTGCACCTCTCGTTCTGTCGGAGAAACTTCTGGACCTGATATTTAGACCGTGGACAAACAGACAGAGCCCTGAGCCCAGTGAGTTCTGTGTGGATCTGAGAAACCCATCAGTCTGGTCTGGTCTGTGTCCTGGAGTAGGGTTTCTCAGCTGACTCTATGTGGAGAAGTGCCAGACTATATTTAGCGAATTCTTCTCACCTCAGGCCTTCAGCAGAGGAAAGTTTTATCATTAGGTTTTTAGGTTATATTAGGTTAAATACATTACATTTGGTTTCATTGAGAGAGTCTGCGTCTGCTTTGAGGAGAACCTTCAATGACTTTCACCCTCACTGCAAATGTGGTTCTACACAAGTCTCTCCTCCCACCTGCTGTCAGACTGTAGAGCGAACACTGCCGACTCTGTACATGTGTCATCACCTGTTCTAACATGTGCAGTACTGTAGTAATAGTAATCATGTTCTTATCTTTCTAAAATCAGCAGCTTTTTAACCATCTAAAAAAACATTTCCAGAATCATAAATATAGAGTCTAAAACAGAGATTTTTTCTCCTGATTTTGTTTCCAGTGTTACACTCATGGATCCAATAGATAGATAGATAGATACTTCATTGATCCATGTAGGAGCAATCCAGGTGTCCAGTAGCAGCAAAAAAACAAAACAAAATTGATCATTCTAAAAAGCTAACAATAGTAATAATCAGCAACAGCAAAAAAATATACAGTACGTACTAAAAAAGTAAGAAACATGTGTAAGTATGTGTTATATTCTGGTTCTTCAAAGTAGCTCCTTTTGCTCTGATACTGCTTCACACTTGGCATTCTCTGGATGAGCTTCAAGAGGACCTGAAATGGTCTCCAACAGTCTTGAAGGAGTTCCCATGATGCTTAGCACTTGTTGGCCCCTTCACTCTGTGGTCCAGCCCCAAAACCATCTGGACTGGGTTCAGGTCCAAAACCATCTGGCCTGGGTTCAGGTCCAAATCCATCTGGACTGGGTTCAGGTCCAAAACCATCTGGACTGGGTTCAGGTCCAAAACCATCTGGACTGGGTTCAGGTCCAAAACCATCTGGACTGGGTTCAGGTCCAAAACCATCTGGACTGGGCTCAGGTCCAAATCAGGGACGTGCAGTCAGGGGAGGCAGAGCCTCACCTGCCATTATTGGAAACTAATAATTATTTTAGTTTAAATATATAATTTATATCCACTGTCCTATGCTTTTAATGTATATTCGGCACGGTTCCCATCAGTTTTGATCATTTCTGAAGTCAAAATCGCCGAAATCCCGTTATTCCTATTCAAAGAGACGAGGTGAGGCAGCGCTCCTGCGTGCCTCACCTCAGACCGCTCCCTCACAGTGTGTGTGTGTGTGTCTGAGTGCACTCAGCTCGTGCAGTTGATATATCACCGTTTGTTTCAAATATCCTGCTTTAAAAACATTTTTTAAACTCCTCTTAGTGTTTAGTAGTGTATTGCACGTATGTGTGTACAATTTATATTTAGTTTAAGTCTTTTGATCGTAGATGAACACACAAGGAAAAAGCTTGGCGTGAGGCAGGCGGTATCTGTGCCTCACCGCTAGGGGTGATAGTGAGCATAAAGTTCATACCAGAGTTGCTAACAAACAATCAGCCCAAAATGCTATTTCTTTTGCTGGAAAAATGGATGATTTGAATGAAGATTTTTTTTCTCAATTGGACTTTCAAACAAAGAAAGAATTAATATAGACTGGGAGACCACCACTGGACTTACGAGGTTAGTCCGGCTGCGGGGGAGGAGTTTGTTAATCTGTGTTTTATGTTGAACATTGACAGATACCGGCAAAGTAGTGCTTTTCCGAAAAACACTGATTCAAACACTGCTCAAGAGTTCTGCAACTTGTTTAAATTATTGTTAATGTTCCTCGCGTCTCTCTCTCCTCGCGTCTCTCTCTCCTCGCGTCTCCGTCTCTCTGCTCCTCTCTGTCTCTCTCTGCTCCTCTCTCCTCGCGTCTCTCTCTGCTCCTCTCTGTCTCTCTCTGCTCCTCGCGTCTCCGTCTCTCTCTGCTCCTCGCGTCTCCGTCTCTCTGCTCCTCTCTGTCTCTCTCTGCTCCTCGCGTCTCCGTCTCTCTCTGCTCCTCGCGTCTCCGTCTCTCTGCTCCTCTCTGTCTCTCTCTGCTCCTCTCTCCTCGCGTCTCTCTGCTCCTCTCTGTCTCTCTCTGCTCCTCGCGTCTCCGTCTCTCTGCTCCTCTCTGTCTCTCTCTGCTCCTCTCTCCTCGCGTCTCTCTCTCCTCGCGTCTCCGTCTCTCTCTGCTCCTCGCGTCTCCGTCTCTCTGCTCCTCTCTGTCTCTCTCTGCTCCTCTCTCCTCGCGTCTCTCTCTCCTCGCGTCTCTCGCACCTGCGCTTCTTAAAGATGTTGTTTGATGCGGAGCAGAGTCAGCAGCTAGATTTGTTGTGAGATTATTAAAAGAAGCTGGTTCTCTTATCTTTACAGTATATAAAGTTTGTGGATGTCATTGCATTGGTGATTAAATGCTATTTTATTTGAATAATGATTGTAAATCTGACTTTTAAAGTCAGTGCCTCCCCAATCACAAACCTCACCGCACGTCCCTGGTTCAAATCCATCTGGACTGGGTTCAGGTCCAAATCCATCTGGACTGGGTTCAGGTCCAAAACCATCTGGACTGGGTTCAGGTCCGGTCTCTCTCCTTATTGGTCAAACAGCCCTTTCACAGCCTGGTGCGGGTTTACAGACAATAGTCATGAAAAGAACTCAGTGAAGGAGAGAGGATGTCCAAACTTTTGGTCTGTACTGTATGTATATTCTGTGTGCTCTTACTACTGTCTTGTATGTGAGCGGCAACATTGAAATTTCCCCACTATCTTATATCAAACCCAAGAGAAAAGTCATGGATGGCGGATACACAAAATAGTTTAATCTCGGTCACAACACAAACGGGTCACAACACAACGATTACAACCCTTAATGCACAAAATACAGACCTCCCAATGTGGGAGAGATTCAAGTTAGACATCGCAGTTAGACAGCACAGCATCCACACCGGACTCTGGGCCATAAATAAGTAGTTTTGGTCAAATGGCAAAAGCACCGTCTACACAACAGTGAGGCTGACGCACACTACACACGACTGAGGCTGACGCACACAACACACGACTGAGGCTGACACACAACACACAACTGAGGCTGACGCACAACACACGACTGAGGCTGACGCACAACACACGACTGAAGCTGACGCACAACACACGACTGAGGCTGACGCACAACACACGACTGAGGCTGACGCACAACACACGACTGAGGCTGACGCACAACACACAAGTCAAAATCAGTGCCTTTGATGAAACAGAAGAAATATCTGTATCTTTGGTTCTGGTCTCTGCCGCTCTGGTCTCTTCAGCTCTAGTCTCTTCGGTTCTAGTCTCTTTGGTTCTGGTCTCTTTGGTTCTGGACTCTTCGGTTCTAGTCTCTTCGGTTCTAGTCTCTTTGGTTCTGGTCTCTTCGGTTCTGGACTCTTCGGTTCTAGTCTCTTCGGCTCCGGCCTCTTCAGCTCTAGTCTCTTCGGTTCAAGTCTCTTCGGCTCCGGTCTCTTCAGCTCTAGTCTCTTCGGTTCAAGTCTCTTTGGTTCTGGTCTCTTCGGTTAAGGTCTCTGGTTCTGGTCTCTTCAGCTCTAGTCTCTTTGGTTCTAGTCTCTGGTTCTGGTCTCTTCAGCTCTAGTCTCTTCGGTTCTAGTCTCTTTGGTTCTGGACTCTTCGGTTCTAGTCTCTGGTTCTGGTCTCTTCAGCTCTAGTCTCTTCGGTTCTAGTCTCTTTGGTTCTGGTCTCTTCGGTTCTGGTCTCTTTGGTTCTGGTCTCTTCAGTTCTGGTCTCTTCGGTTCTGGTCTCTTCGGCTCTGGTCTCTTCGGCTCTGGTCTCTTCGGTTCTGGTCTCTTCGGTTCTAGTCTCTTCAGTTCTGGTCTATTCGGTTCTGGTCTCTTCAGCTCCGGTCTCTCCGGCTCCGGTCTCTTCGATTTCGGTCTCTTCAGCTCTAGTCTCTTCGGTTCTAGTCTCTTCAGTTCTGGTCTATTCGGTTCTGGTCTCTCCGGCTCTGGTCTCTTCGGTTCTGGTCTCTTTGGTTCTGGTCTCTTCGATTCTGGTCTCTGGTTCTGGTCTCTTCAGCTCTGGTCTCTTCGGCTCTGGTCTCTTCGGCTCTGGTCTCTTCAGCTCCGGTCTCTTCAGCTCTGGTCTCTTCGATTCTGGTCTCTGGTTCTGGTCTCTTCAGCTCCGGTCTCTTCGGCTCCGGTCTCTTCAGCTCTGGTCTCTTCGGTTCTGGTCTGGTCTAGGCTTCAGACGAGGCCTGTGGTCTGAGATGAGCTTTCTCCATTGTTGTGGCGTAAGGATCAGACCTTTTAAAGAAACCCATCTGCAGCAGAACAGGACAGAGAACAACAAAACAGATTAAGATAAACAAAAACTCTATGAAACTCCTTATTAGGCTAAAGCGAGAGACTTAATTCTTCCTTCTTTATTATGCTACAGTTGGAGATTACAGATTGCGTCCTTCTCATGCTAAAGCTAATCTATACTCTCAAACTGTAGCATAAAAAAGAAGGGAGAATTAAGTACAAAATCCCCGACTTTAGCATAAGAAAGAAGTTGTGTGTTTCCATCGGTGCGTGTTTCCATCGGTACGTGTTAGCATCGGTACGTGTTAGCATCGGTACGTGTTTGCATCGGTACGTGTTAGCATCGGTACGTGTTAGCATCGGTACGTGTTAGCATCGGTACGTGTTAGCATCGGTACGTGTTAGCATCGGTACGTGTTAGCATCGGTACGTGTTTGCATCGGTACGTGTTAGCATCGGTACGTGTTTGCATCGGTACGTGTTAGCATCGGTACGTGTTTGCATCGGTACGTGTTTGCATCGGTACGTGTTTGCATCGGTACGTGTTAGCATCGGTACGTGTTAGCATCGGTACGTGTTAGCATCGGTACGTGTTTGCATCGGTACGTGTTAGCATCGGTACGTGTTTGCATCGGTACGTGTTAGCATCGGTACGTGTTTGCATCGGTACGTGTTAGCATCGGTACGTGTTAGCATCGGTACGTGTTAGCATCGGTACGTGTTAGCATCGACAGTGGACACATTCTATACTGCACATTCTGACATTATTATTGCACAGACGAGTACTGCACACAAACACACACACACACAGACACACACACATACACATCACTGCACACTAACACACACTCACACACACACAGACACATCACTGCACACCAACACACACACACACACACACACACAGACACACACACACATCACTGCACACTAACACACACACAGACACATCACTGCACACTAACTCACACACACACACAGACACACACACATACACATCACTGCACACTAACACACACTCACACACACACAGACACATCACTGCACACCAACCCACACTCACACACACACACAGACACACACACACACACACAGACACAGACACACACACACATCACTGCACACTAACACACACACAGACACATCACTGCACACTAACTCACACACACACACAGACACACACACATACACATCACTGCACACTAACACACACTCACACACACACAGACACATCACTGCACACCAACCCACACTCACACACACACACAGACACACACACACACACACAGACACACAGACACATCACTGCACACTAACACACACACAGACACACACACACACACACACACAGACACATCACTGCACACATACACACCCATAAGAATTTACACATTGTTGTCTGTTGTCTATATTCTCACAATTATGGAAAAGAACTAGGGGCAGAACAAACCAAACTTCACAAATCTTTCCTCGCACAAATATGGGCGGCACGGTGGCTGAGTGGATAGCACTCTCGCCTCTCAGCAAGAAGGTCCTGGGTTCAAATCCCGGCCGGACCAGGGCCTTTCTGAGTGGAGTTTGCATGTTCTCCCTGTGTCTGCGTAGGTTTCCTCCGGGTACTCCGGTTTCCCCTACCACTAAAAATATGTACAATAGGATTGGCATGCGCCTGCTGTTCGGCGACCCCGCTCCCATCTCTGTGTGGAGTGAGAGACAAATGCCCAAAAATAACAATTGTAAACCGCTTTGTGACTCTGGTCTGTGAAAGGCGGTATATAAATAAAGCTTACTTACTTACTTACTTACTTATATCTCGTTTACTTCACTTTGTGTTTCAAGTCTTTCCAAATAAACTGTAAACAGACTGAAGAGAGCCGGAGACTGTACCATAAACCCAGACCCTGCTCTTCCTGGTTCCTGGTTCCTGGTTCTGTACCTTGTAGAGCAGATAGATGAGCAGACTCAGCAGGAGGAGCCCCAACAGCACGGCCAGGACCACGATCCACACCGGGACGGGGTACACACTGTCCGGCTTGTTCCACAGCACCGCACACACAACCTGCAACAACACACACAGATTACAACACACACAACCTGCAACAACACACACAGATTACAACACACACAGCCTGACAGACACGCAACAGCACAGGTTTACAACGGACACACGTTGACACACACACGTGTTAGCCTCGCTGCTAAATACTGTAACTTTGTAGTGCACATTGTAGTGAGCATTTGTTTTTGAGCCTGAAGGTCATAGGTTCAATCCCACCATAAGACCTACTTCACGACTCCCACTGATGACTGCTGTCGTTGTGTCCTTGGGCAAGACACTTAACCCCACTTTGCCTGAAGCCCCCACTGAAAGATCTCAGCTCCTGCAGGAGGATCAGTGAGGGGCTGGTGCTCTGACTGCCACCCCCGACCCAGAAATGGATTAAGGGGAAGAAGATGGATGAATGGACCAGTAAATTGCATATTTGCATATTCTCAATTTGCTGCTATAATACAACATTGATTATATTGTATTTTGTGACCTGCGACTGGAACTACACTGCAAATAGTGATGAAATAAAGGTTCTAAATGTTGAAGGTTGTGGGTTTGAGCCACAAGACCTTCTCCACCGACTCCCACTGATAATAATATTAATGCATAAGTTTTATACCATGCTTTTTGGACGCTCAAAGATACTTCACATCAATATTCATCCACTCCAAACCCAGTGGTGATAAACTACTGTAGCCACAGCTGCCCTGGGGCACTTTGACAGAAGCGAGGCAACCAGTCCGTGCCATCAGCCCCTCAGACACACACCAGACTCATTCTAGGCAATGGACACAACGGCAGTTTGGCACTTTACAGCCACAGCCGCCCCACTGCAGCACCTGGTGTTCCCAGAGGTTAAGTGTCTTGCCCATGGACACAACGACAGCAGACAGTGGGAGTTGATGGTGAAAGTCTTGAGGTGGGCTTGAACCCACAACCTTCTCGCTCAAAGGCCAATGCTCTACCAACTGAGCTACTGTTGCCCATGACCACTGATGACTGCTGTCGTTGTGTCCTTGGGCAAGACACTTAACCCCACTTTGCCTGAAGCCCCCACTGAAAGATCTCAGCTCCTGTGGACTCAGCTCCTGCAGGAGGATCAGAGAGGGGCTTCTGCTCTGACTGCCACCCCCGACCCAGAAATGGATTAAGGGGAAGAAAATGGATGGATGGAAATAGTAGTAAATGCTTAAATTGCTTAAATTGTTTTTTTGTCTAAATCATAGAACATTATGACTGTCATAAAACAAGATTTGCCAATGAGACAACGCCATTTTGTGTATTTTCTTTTTATTAATTTATTTTTGCTGTTTTTGTTGGTAACTTGCACTTTTCTATTTAACTGTATTTTAAGATGTAATGATTGAACTGTCGAGGACTAAAGATGGAAAGAAGTGACTGCAAATTGTCCGTAATAAACTAAACTCTAAACAATCTCGGGATAAAAGGTGGTTCCACAGTTTTCATAACATTTGTTGATGGCATAAAAAAACATATAAATATATCATGACCAAATACAGACTCAAACGAACCTTTTTAGAGAGCGATGGTGTGAACAGCGGTGGAATGGAGTACGGCATCTTCTCCACTTTATAATGAACCGTGCACTCGACAACGTGCTGTTTGTAGATTCTCTGTCAGACAAAAACATTATTATTTCAATCTGGAAACACAAGCATCACAATGATATTTATTGGCATGTTTGATTTAAAGGAGCAGTCTGTAAACATGTGGCCAAAAGTGGTACTGCAGCCTCTCCCACTCTCCCTGACTCAGGTTGCCAGATATGCAGACGAATCCAGCTGGGACCATAACAGCTGAATAGACAAGAGTTTTGTCAACAACAAATTTATAACCAACACCTTTTTCACAAAGATAGAAATCCTGGTTTTATTCCTTGTTTTGTCGTTAATGATTTGAGAATCATAACGAGACCTTTTTTAGTTCTGCGCCACATGGTACTTTACCAGTGAGATTAGCTCCACGCGGTCAGTTCAGGCGCCCGGATCATGGACTTTCTGATTGGTGAAACGGTGGAGGGCGGGACATCGAAATGAAAACAATAACAATATTTAGAGGCTGGAAAAGTAATTTAGAAATTCAAATATCTCTGAACTATTGTTATCAGTGAAAGAAGGATTGGAAAAGAGCAGTTTATTTTTATGACAGATTAGGGCCTTTAATAATGACAGATTAGGGCCCTTTAATGATGACAGGTTAGGGCCCTTTAATGATGACAGATTAGAGCCCTTTAATGATGACAGATTAGGGCCCTTTAATGATGACAGATTAGGGCCCTTTAATGATGACAGATTAGGGCCCTTAAATGATGACAGATTAGGGCCCTTTAATGATGACAGATTAGAGCCCTTTAATGATGACAGATTAGAGCTCTTTAATGATGACAGATTAGGGCCTTTAATGATGACAGATTAGGGCCCTTTAATAATGAAAGATTAGGGCCCTTTAATGATGATGGATTAGGGCCCTGTAATTATGACAAATTAGGGCCCTTTAATGATGACAGATTAGGGCCCTTTAATGATGACAAATTAGGGCCCTTTAATGATGACAGATTAGGGCCCTTTAATGATGACATATTAGGGCCTTTAATGATGACAGATTAGGGCCCTTTAATGATGACGGATTAGGTCCCTTTAATGATGACAAATTAGGGCCCTTTAATGATGACAGATTAGAGCCCTTTAATGATGACAGATTAGAGCCCTTTAATGATGACGGATTAGGGCCTTTAATGATGACGGATTAGGGCCCTTTAATAATGAAAGATTAGGGCCCTTTAATGATGATGGATTAGGGCCCTTTAATTATGACAAATTAGGGCCCTTTAATGATGACAAATTAGGGCCCTTTAATGATGACAGATTAGGGCCCTTTAATGATGACAGATTAGGGCCCTTTAATGATGACGGATTAGGGCCCTTTAATTATGACAAATTAGGGCCCTTTAATGATGACAGATTAGGGCCCTTTAATTATGACAAATTAGGGCCCTTTAATGATGACAGATTAGGGCCCTTTAATGATGACAGATTAGGGCCCTTTATATTATGACAAATTAGGGCCCTTTAATGATGCTGTATGAGACAATAAGACCCGGCCGACGTATTATGAGGCACTATAGTTTATTTAATCATTATATTTGAATGTATTAAGGTTTGAGGATAGTGCATGAAGTCTGAAGGAGGGAATTTAATAGTTATTATGAACTTGTGAAACCCTCAGTCTAAACCCAGACAGAGGAAGCTGAACGTGATGATTCTACACTGAAGAGAGGGTGATGGGGAGGAGGTGGGTTGCTGCACGAACAGAGCACAGGTGTGTAGCAGAAGGAGTAAGAGGACTCAGTGAGAGATGAGAACCCAGTCTTTCAATCTGAATATAAACTTTTGCTATATTATCATCCTCATATGTCCTTATTTCTACTTTTTACATTTTTACATTTTTCAAAAGAATGTCCATGGAGAGTGACTCAGTGAATGTAGTAAAATAATAAAACATAAAGAGAAGCCAAAAACAGTCTGCAAAGATCCCAATGTAGTTCACTGCGAGGCCAGCAGAGGGCGACATGCGCACACACTTCCACCGGTTGGGCCGGTCTCACATAGATGACGTAGTGAATATGACTTCATGATTCTGATGATTTCAATGTTTCCGTTTTGGGTTTTGGGTTCAATGTTTAGAAAAAATGCAATGACGGTTGTTTTTCTACGAGCACAAGAGAGAAGAACTTTAAAATGTGTCATGATGTGAACGTTTTGGTTATTTTTACCTGGTTTTTATTGTGTTATATATTTGCTTTCTTGTAGTTTGAGTTGCGTCCTGTCTCCCGTTGATTATTTGCCCAAATGTGTCTCACTTGTGTGTCCCTAAATGTGTGTATTTATTCCCTGTGCTTTTCCACACTTGTCCCTGTGTGTATTTTTTTCTCTTTGGAAACGTTTTAGCCACAGTCGAAACACTCACAAATTTATAACATGTTAGAAAGTGTTTGTGTGTGTGTGTTTTTGTGTGTGTTTGTGTGTGTGGCGTCCACTTCACTCTCAAAAACATGTTTGAGGAATGGGACAACTTTATGAGCCAAGAGCCAGCAAAAGCTCCTTAGCAACGGTTGTCAAGACCAAAATGAAGACACACACACATCACAGCTGCAGACACACACATTACAGCTACACACACTGAGACACTCCCATTGAAACACACACACCACTGCAGTTATAGACACACACACCCACCCACACAATACAGCTGCAGAGACACACAAACGCACTCACACACACAAACACGTTACAGCTGGAGAGACACACACACAGACACTCACAGAACAACACACACACACCAATGCAGCTACAGACACAACAACACACACATTACAGCTGCAGAGACACACACGCACACATTACAGCTGCAGAGACACACACAGACACTCACATTGAAACACACACTAACAAGCTACAGACTCACCCACACACACACACACAGAAGGTCTCTAAACTTTTTGACTCTTGTACGTTACAAAACAATATATATTTAGTTATATCTGTCTAAAGGGACGTCCCACGTGACGTCACGCCATTTAAATTTGGAGCAGCCATTTTGACGGTGTAGAAATGCAAAACCTCTGGTGATACTGCAGGTAGTAGTGAGATGTTCCTGTCATGCCGGAGCGATGCTGTGCAGTTGGATGCGACCGGATACGTGATCAGACAAAAGGAATATCTTTATACCGGGTGCACGGAGGTTTTCAGAATTATTTGTTAACGTTTTCATCACGAAAATACTGTTTTAATGTAACAAAAAGCAATCTTGATAAACCCGTAAGTAACCATTAACATGAAAGGAACATTTTAGGACACATTTGAAGAGGATCTGATGGATTTAGGTTCTTTTTATAAATGAGTTCCTCACCACTGATGTTCAGAATTCTTTGTTCAGTTTTCATGTAGTTCCAGAGAGTTTTTGAACTAGCTAGCTTAGCTCCATTGCTGCGGAGTCGGCGGACGGATTCCGTCAAAATGGCTGACACGCTGCTATGGGTCATGTGACTGGGAGATCCCTATTTGATCCAGGAGTACACAATCCACATGTGAAACACTACAACATGTATTCAAGAATTGTTAGCTTATTAGCATTGTGCGTCCCTTGAACAGCTTTTGTAGCTTGTTTAACGACTTTCTGAACTTCCTGCTGTAGAATCTGGGTCACAGAGATCTCACCTCGATGAAGGTCTCGGCCCACAGTCTGGAGCGCAGCCTGATGATGGCGCTGTCTCCTCGGTTCAGCCTCCCAACATCACACTGCATCCTCCAACACTCCACCACACTGCAGGTCTGCGGACACACACACACACACGCACACACACACAGACACACAAACACAACCGCACACACACACAGACACACAAACACAACCACACACACACACACGCACACACACAAAGACACACAAACACAACCGCACACACACAATTCATTTTTTATAGCCCTAAATCACAACACACTGCAAAAACTGATGAAAAATAAGTCAACAATTGCTCAAATTTAGCAAAAGGTGTCTTAATTTGAGCACATTCTGACTGCTTTAAAAGTAGATTTTCGAATGTGACAAAGAAAAAATATATTGTTTTAAACAGAAGAATGAGGAAATAAAGCAACAGCTCTTGAAATAAGACTAAATTACTGTGTCCCATTGGAAAATCTAAACAGATTTTACAGAATGTGTCAGATTAAGATAAAAACTACTTGATTCAAGCGATTATTACCTCATTCTTAATATTTTATTTGTGGTGCAGTAGTTTTCTCAGAGGACTTTACAAAACCGTTGATTTCGCCAACATAGATCAGAGAATCAACACAGGGACTGCAATGATTCAGAGACCAATGTCCATAAATTATTATTATTATCATAATAATGCAGTTTTGTTTGGATCATTGGTTGGACTGGTGCCAGAGCCAGAGTGTGTCTCCCCCTAATATAATAATAATATAATAATAATAATAATATAATAATAATAATATAATAATAATAATATAATAATAATAATATAATAATATAATAATAATAATAATATAATAATAATAATAACAATGACATAATGATTTAAGAAATCCATGTTCTCACCAGGTTCCCGTGCTCGGCCAGAGGTTGTGCGTCTCTCTTCTTCACACGATGCTCTGAACTTTGAGGTTTGATCTGAGCCACGGTCTGTGCAGAGGCCGGCTCCAGCTGCAACACAATCACAGTCAGAGAACCACAACTGCAGCTGCAACACAATCACAGTCAGAGAACCACAACTGCAGCTGCAACACAATCACAGTCAGAGAACCACAACTGCAGCTACAACACAATCACATCAAAGTCCTGGCCGTGGTCATGGTCATGGTCCTGGTTCTGGTCATGGTCTTGGTCCTGGTTATGACCGCGGTCCTGGTCCTAGTCCTGGTTGTGGTCCTGGTCAAGGTCTTTGTTGTGGTCCTGATCCAAGTCCTGGTCATGGTCATGGTCCTCGTAGTGGTCCTGGTCCGGGTCCTGGTCCGGCTCACCTTGAGTTTGAGTGCGTTGAGCTGGTGCTGGGAGCGGCAGGTCAGAGGTCCTTCTGTGGTGAGCTCCAGGGGGTACAGCAGGCCCTGGCTCTGGGCCCTCAGGGGACAGCGGACCTCCAGAGACGACCGGCTGATCACACTGGGGCCATGGTTCACCAACTGCAACACACACCAACTGACGTCACACACACCAACTGACGTCACACACACCAACTGACGTCACACACACCAACTGACGTCACACACACCAACTGCAACACACAACAACTGACGTCACACACACCAACTGCAACACACAACAACTGACGTCACACACACCAACTGCAACACACACCAACTGACGTCACACACACCAACTGCAACACACACCAACTGCAACACACAACAACTGACGTCACACACACCAACTGCAACACACACCAACTGACGTCACACACACCAACTGCAACACACACCAACTGCAACACACAACAACTGACGTCACACACACCAACTGCAACACACAAACAACTGACGTCACACACACCAACTGCAATACACAACAACTGACGTCACACACACCAACTGCAACACACACCAACTGCAACACACACCAACTGACGTCACACACACCAACTGCAACACACACCAACTGACGTCACACACACCAACTGCAACACACAACAACTGACGTCACACACACCAACTGCAACACACAACAACTGACGTCACACACACCAACTGCAACACACAACAACTGACGTCACACACACCAACTGCAACACACACCAACTGACGTCACACACACCAACTGCAACACACACCAACTGCAACACACAACAACTGACGTCACACACACCAACTGCAACACACAACAACTGACGTCACACACACCAACTGCAACACACAACAACTGACGTCACACACACCAACTGCAACACACCCAAACTGCAACACACAACAACTGACGTCACACACACCAACTGCAACACACACCAACTGACGTCACACACACCAACTGCAACACACACCAACTGCAACACACAACAACTGACGTCACACACACCAACTGCAACACACACCAACTGACGTCACACACACCAACTGCAACACACACCAACTGCAACACACAACAACTGACGTCACACACACCAACTGCAACACACACCAACTGACGTCACACACACCAACTGCAACACACACCAACTGCAACACACAACAACTGACGTCACACACACCAACTGCAACACACACCAACTGACGTCACACACACCAACTGCAACACACACCAACTGACGTCACACACACCAACTGCAACACACACCAACTGCAACACACACCAACTGACGTCACACACACCAACTGCAACACACACCAACTGACGTCACACACACCAACTGCAACACACACCAACTGCAACACACACCAACTGACGTCACACACACCAACTGACGTCACACACACCAACTGACGTCACACACACCAACTGACGTCACACACACCAACTGCAACACACAACAACTGACGTCACACACACCAACTGCAACACACAACAACTGACGTCACACACACCAACTGCAACACACACCAACTGACGTCACACACACCAACTGCAACACACACCAACTGCAACACACAACAACTGACGTCACACACACCAACTGCAACACACACCAACTGACGTCACACACACCAACTGCAACACACAACAACTGACGTCACACACACCAACTGCAACACACACCAACTGACGTCACACACACCAACTGCAACACACACCAACTGCAACACACACCAACTGACGTCACACACACCAACTGCAACACACACCAACTGACGTCACACACACCAACTGCAACACACACCAACTGCAACACACAAACAACTGACGTCACACACACCAACTGCAACACACAACAACTGACGTCACACACACCAACTGCAACACACACACAACAACTGACGTCACACACACCAACTGCAACACACACCAACTGCAACACACACCAACTGACGTCACACACACCAACTGCAACACACACCAACTGACGTCACACACACCAACTGCAACACACAACAACTGACGTCACACACACCAACTGCAACACACAACAACTGACGTCACACACACCAACTGCAACACACAACAACTGACGTCACACACACCAACTGCAACACACACCAACTGACGTCACACACACCAACTGCAACACACACCAACTGCAACACACAACAACTGACGTCACACACACCAACTGCAACACACAACAACTGACGTCACACACACCAACTGCAACACACACAACAACTGACGTCACACACACCAACTGCAACACACACCAACTGCAACACACAACAACTGACGTCACACACACCAACTGCAACACACACCAACTGACGTCACACACACCAACTGCAACACACACCAACTGCAACACACAACAACTGACGTCACACACACCAACTGCAACACACACCAACTGACGTCACACACACCAACTGCAACACACACCAACTGCAACACACAACAACTGACGTCACACACACCAACTGCAACACACACCAACTGACGTCACACACACCAACTGCAACACACACCAACTGCAACACACAACAACTGACGTCACACACACCAACTGCAACACACACCAACTGACGTCACACACACCAACTGCAACACACACCAACTGACGTCACACACACCAACTGCAACACACACCAACTGCAACACACACCAACTGACGTCACACACACCAACTGCAACACACACCAACTGACGTCACACACACCAACTGCAACACACACCAACTGCAACACACAACAACTGACGTCACACACACCAACTGCAACACACAACAACTGACGTCACACACACCAACTGCAACACACAACAACTGACGTCACACACACCAACTGCAACACACACCAACTGCAACACACACACCAACTGCAACACACACCAACTGCAACACACAACAACTGACGTCACACACACCAACTGCAACACACAACAACTGACGTCACACACACCAACTGCAACACACAACAACTGACGTCACACACACCAACTGCAACACACACCAACTGCAACACACAACAACTGACGTCACACACACCAACTGCAACACACACCAACTGACGTCACACACACCAACTGCAACACACACCAACTGCAACACACAACAACTGACGTCACACACACCAACTGCAACACACACCAACTGACGTCACACACACCAACTGCAACACACACCAACTGCAACACACAACAACTGACGTCACACACACCAACTGCAACACACACCAACTGACGTCACACACACCAACTGCAACACACACCAACTGACGTCACACACACCAACTGCAACACACACCAACTGCAACACACACCAACTGACGTCACACACACCAACTGCAACACACACCAACTGACGTCACACACACCAACTGCAACACACACCAACTGCAACACACAACAACTGACGTCACACACACCAACTGCAACACACAACAACTGACGTCACACACACCAACTGCAACACACAACAACTGACGTCACACACACAAACTGCAACACACACTGCAACACACTGCAACACACACACACACACTGCAACACACACACACAACTGCAACACACAACAACAACTGACGTCACACACACACTGCAACACACAACTGACGTCACACACACCAAACTGCAACACACAACAACTGACGTCACACACACCAACTGCAACACACACCAACTGCAACACACAACAACTGACGTCACACACACCAACTGCAACACACACCAACTGACGTCACACACACCAACTGCAACACACACCAACTGCAACACACAACAACTGACGTCACACACACCAACTGCAACACACACCAACTGACGTCACACACACCAACTGCAACACACACCAACTGCAACACACAACAACTGACGTCACACACACCAACTGCAACACACACCAACTGACGTCACACACACCAACTGCAACACACACCAACTGCAACACACACCAACTGACGTCACACACACCAACTGCAACACACACCAACTGCAACACACAACAACTGACGTCACACACACCAACTGCAACACACAACAACTGACGTCACACACACCAACTGCAACACACAACAACTGACGTCACACACACCAACTGCAACACACACTTTATATTATGATTACAGTTAAGTACATAGCATCAGATTAAAGGAAGGACCTAAAGTTTGGAGCCGTGGTCTAGATCAGGCGAGTCCAAACCGTTTGATTCTCTGATCTGTTCTTGGTGAATCCACAACTTTGTCAAGTCCTCAGAGCGACACACACACACACACACACACACACACACACACACACACACACACACACAACCGCTCTGACGTCATCGCACAACTCAAGATAGATTCAATTCAAGTTAAAGAATCCATGGTCCTTGCCCTGTTCGTGGTCCTGGTCCTGGTCCTGGTCATGGTTATGGTCCTGGTCCTGGTCATGGTCGTGGTCCTTGTCCTGGTTCTGGTCCTGGTTATGGTCCTGGTCATGGTCCTGGTCCTGGTCATGGTTATGGTCCTGGTCATGGTCGTGGTCCTCGTCCTGGTTCTGGTCCTGGTTCTGGTCCTTGTCATGGTCCTGGTTCTGGTCATGGTTATGGTCCTGGTCTTGGTTGTGGTCCTCGTCCTGGTTCTGGTCCTGGTCCTGGTTCTGGTCAGGGTCCTGGTCCTGGTCCTGGTCATGGTTATGGTTATGGTCCTGGTCATGGTCCTGGTCCTGATCATGTTTATGGTCCTGGTCCTGGTCATGGTTCTGGTCCTGATCATGTTTATGGTCCTGGTCCTGGTCATGGTCGTGGTCCTCGTCCTCGTCCTGGTTCTGGTCCTGGTTCTGGTCCTGGTCATGGTCGTGGTCCTTGTCCTGGTTCTGGTCCTAGTCCTGGTAAGGGTCCTGGTCCTGGTCCTGGTCATGGTCGTGGTCCTGGTTCTGGTCCTAGTCCTGGTAAGGGTCCTGGTCCTGGTCATGGTTCTGGTCCTGGTCATGGTCCTGGTTCTGGTCATGGTTATGGTCCTGGTCTTGGTTGTGGTCCTCGTCCTGGTTCTGGTCCTGGTCATGGTCCTGGTCCTGGTTATGGTCCTGGTCCTGGTCATGGTCCTGGTCCTGGTCATGGTCATGGTCCTGG